GTTTTGATATCCTATAATACAGACCTAAATATAATTTCGACGATATACTAAAATTTCAAAGTCTTCAATCGAGCAAATCCAATAATGATCGAGGTGTATAGTTGGATTCTTAAAACAATAGTGTTGTATAAGAATAAATATAAATATTTTTATGAAAATACAACTGTTATGTATTTGGTTACGATTTTTGACTCTAAATAACTGCAATGCAAATAAAGAGAAAGCAAATAGAAAACTCTTGGCACTTACCTGTTGGCTGTTGAAATATAGAAAAAAAATGAAAGAGAGATGGAAAAAGGGGTGAAACCCCGAAATCCATAGGAATGGGTGGCGTTGGAAATCAAGTTCTGAATTGGATTGGGATTTCCAATCCACCCATCCCAACGGATACCGGAAAAGATCTTCCCCCGTTTCAGATCTATCTATCTCTAATCTAATCTGCTTTGCTTTAGAGGGAGGGAGATTTTGATTAGTGTAAATACATACATACGTAATATATACATACATATATGGGGACGGTGTGTGGATAGAGGCTAGGTGGAGTAGATAAGGATCACAACCGCCTCTCTTTTCTCTTTATTTTTGTTTTCTTTTTGTTTAGCTTTTTGTTGGGCTAGTATTCAACTTGTGCATTTGGACATATATAATTAAAGTATTGTGAGTTATTTGTATGCATATAATAATTAATGATCTTTCTTACACTTTTTTGTAGGTCAAATTTATAATTAAAGGAGTTGAAATATTTATTTTTTTAAATTGTGTTTATCATATTGAATGTAATGTATATTTTGATATGTGTGTTTTGTGAATTATTTATTATTTATTTAGTAATTCCAAATACGTTTTTTTATTTTTTAAAAGAAGTTAATTTAAATGTAACCACAACAATAGCATCTAATCACGTTAAATAATCAACACTGTATGGTCAGTTGTAAGTAAATTAAAAGTTTAAAATAATTTTTGTAATTTTGAAGTGATTAGTGTGTTGATTATTAAATAATTAAATGAGAGGTTAAATAAATAAAAAATAACGATTTTTGGAGGGAAAAAATTATATTGCCACATAAATATAATTTAATATGTTTTATTAAATGCTCATGAGCCAACATTTATATTATAGATGTTCTACAAAATTTTATGGAGTCATCGGATGTTTTTTTATGGAGTCATCCACTACTTAATGTGTTGACACCTGTCCAAATTTACTTATTGTGTTGACATTTGTCCAAATTAAATTTATTATAAGACATGTGTCAATACACTATTGATGAATAACTATAGATGACTTCATTAATCGAACCTTCCAATAGTTCCAAAGTAAAACTGTGTTCTTTTTTCGACATCTCAATCCTTCATACAGTTGATAACTTTTAGATAGACATTAACCCGAAATTTAAGATAGTTTTGTGAACTGAACCGGTGATAATATCCAAGCATTTGTACACTTCTTTTGTCAAGTGATGCAGTTATAATATCCAAGCATTTATAATTTGATTAGTGTTTTTTTCTTTAGCTAAGGTGATTAATATTTTTCTCTTTTATTTTGTGAACCATCTAGTACGTATACGTGGCGCGTACAATACATAGATAAATAATAATATGTATATATTACAAATTAAATATATAAATAAAATTAATTATGATTTATACATTATTTTTTAAATCAGACCAGATTGAATCGTCCGATCTAATGGATCGATTTATCATTCTGTTGAGTTTTTTTGAATGAAACATTTGCTAGTAAATCGATGAACACCAATCGGTCGGACTGATTGGATCGATATGATTTTTTAAATAAATCTTGCTATATTTAAAATTATTTTTAATATAAATAAAAAAACCATATTTAAATAAAATGGAGAATGAAAAGTACGTACCAATTAGTTTAAACATTTAAAATTTCTAAATTGATTATATATTTCATTAATAATTTTATATAAATTTATTAAAAACATATATTAAATTATTGAATAAATAATTTGATCGGTTCTATGGTCCAATTATGAGAACCTTGGAGTATATATTTTGTATTTTACATAACTATTAACAGAATCATATATAAAAAATATTGATAAATCAGTGAACGTGTTGCCATAAAAACATTCTTAATATAATTATTTGGAGTTTGGACAAAATTACATTTATCGTGATAAAGTATTTAAAATACTAAATTTTATATTTAGTTTCAATAATCGATTTGAACTTCCAAATTGACCCATAACTTGGTCATCCAGAATAAACCTCAGTAGTGTCATGTTTTTTAATAGATTAAATATCAACTAAAAGTAATTCAATCAATCTGTGTAGTCACCTAACTCAATCACTCGATAAACCCAAAGAAAATTTCTTATTTTCCTAAAATATAATTCATCTTATAAATACTAAAAGAAATTATGATTTTATATATGTGGTAAATGTTTATAACAAATGTCAATATATTAAGATTTAAATTATATATATAAAGATACATTAGTTATTTCTTACTTTATGCATATTTATAAAAAAATCTTATGTGCAAAATAAATCACAATATTTAGTTTAAATGCAATTTTTTCATCTATGCGTTTCAAGAATTATTTTATATTTCATGTAAATATTAGAAAAAATTGTAAATAGTTATTTTTTAGATGATTAATCTATAGCCATATCCGTTAATTTATATTTTCAAATCAAATAAAAATTAAAATTAGGTTAAAACTCAATAATTTGATATCCGATCACTAAAAATTAAAATAAAAATAGATTTGATAGAGATAAAATAATGATTTGAAATCTTTTAGAAAGTTGGTAAATAGATTTTTTTACTTATTGATATCACATAATCAAAAATAGAAGTCTCACCACTCCTGACAAAGAAAAAATTACCAAAAGAAATATATATATATATAGTTAGGATCATATTAGAATGGTAGTAGATAATGAAAGAAATAAGAATGATCTTACACCATTGAATTCATAATATCGTTGTCGATATACAGTCAAAATTGAATAAGATGGTCAAAATCATGGTGGCAAAAATGTAATTAAATAGTATCTTATGATCAAATATATACCACTAAGCAGATACGTAATGGACACCCACCCACTTGGTGGGTCCCACCACAAACAAAACCACCAATTATCTCTCATCCCTACCAACACCAACACAACTCACGACGCGCCGGCATGAGAGCTCACAATCACCTTCTTCATCTGGCCGCTGGCCGCAGGCCGCCGTTAAATTATCATCTGCCGCTGTTCTCTCCTAACCCCTCCGTCAGTCGTATTTTAATCCCGCCGTCGGACGTCCACCATCCCGCCGCCGCCGTCCACCAATCGCGCACCCTCCTCCGTACTCAGCCACAGCTCCGCCGTCCACCAAATCAACCGTGGCGTCCATCTCCTCCGTCGCTTCGCCTATCACTCGCCATCTCCACTGATTTTTTGCCGAAATGGCCTATGAATCGGGGCCTTCTTTCTGCCATTCAACATTTGAAGTGCCCTGTGCGTGTAATTGGGACTCACAGAGGTCATCCAGTCGACGTCGAGGCGGCTCTTAGACGATGGCGACGGCGACGGCGGCACCGACCTGTGCGTTAGAGGTCGCCGGAAAATATTGATTATTTATATGGCTCTCAGACGACGGCGACGACGGTTTAGCAGGGGTCTCCGGCGGCGACCGTGGTGTGAAGATGCTTCGGCGGCGACGGCAGTCCCTGTGCGGCGGCGACGGTGGCCGGAACGGCACTGGAAGTGTCTGTGTTTTTTTATTGGTCGAGAGACTTATTTTGGAGAATTTGATAAAGCTTGAGGACTTTTATGCAAATTTAAAAAGTTAAATATATTTCAATTAAGCACATGGGTTAAATTTTGTAAATTTTTACAACTTTAATAAGTGTATCATATTGATGAATGAATTGCATATTATGGTGGTACATATGCCCATTAAAATACTATTATATTTTTATATGAAATTATTAAAATATTAATAATTACACAACATTAATAAATAAATTGCACAATATTGAATGTACACATGCATTTTAAAAATTCATGGGAAGCTTGAACATATGTTTATAGATTTTGATCGATATAGTGCATCCGTCAGTCACTAATGTGCAATCATTCTACTATAAACGTGCACTCGAATTGCAATTATGTTTTAATTATTTATTCTAACCCAAACTAAGTCCAAAATAATTGGTATATTTTATTGATTAACCGATTTAGTATAACATCTGTGCAGTTTATCGAGCATGTATTTTTTTTTTATTACGTGCATTTCAATTTTGGGAACCATTAAATGATGTGTATTTTAATTAACATTACTATACATTAATCAAGTTATTTATATAATAAAAATATATAGTATTTGAAAATTTTATTTAATATTTTATATTATTTTTAATTGAAAATAATTAATACCCATACAATTTAGTCGGTTATATTATTTATTTATTTATTTATTTATTGTAATATTATCGTGTACATTTTTTCAAACTAATGTGCATTTTATCGTTCGATCGATTATGTTATTTAATTTTTAATATAAATTCAAAATCGAACCGAACTAACCTAGATTTTAATATTTGTGGTAATCCGTACTGTTATGGTGATGTGCATAATTGAATAAATTAATGTGTATTCCGCCGAAAAACTATTGTCCATCTTGATAATACATACTGTTATCGCAAATGCACTGTTTTGGGATAAAGTGCAATACCACATGCACTAAAGTGCAACTTGTATAAGAATATGGTGCATTCTGTATAATGATATTTTTAATGTTGATAAAGTGCAATATGCATTAAAGTACAACTTGTATAGCAATATTGTGCATTCTGCATAATGATATTTTTAATGTTGATAAAGTGCAATAACACATGTACTAAAGTGCAACTTGTATAACAATATGGTGCATTTTGTCTAATGATATTTTTAATGTTCAAATCCGAACGCGATGAGGTGCATTTATTCATTTACGAATTTAGCACTAAATTTCAATATATTTCAAATTTTTTAATTTGCAATTAAGTCCATTGATTATATCTAATTTACAAAAATTAGTCCTATCCCTACAATTTCCAAATCCCTAATTCATGTGCACTTTGTTTCAATTCTCTGTCCTAGGCTGACGGCGCCGACATTGGGACGGTGGATACGGCTGCGGGAGGGGCGGCGACGGCAGAGATAGCCGCCTCGCCGGACATGAGATCTGGACGACGGCGGCAGCAGGAGTGAGCAGCGTCGGAATTTGATGTGGCGGTCGAGGAGGAAGATGACTATAGCGGCGGCGAGATTTGGACGACGGCCATTAGTGGCGCCGACGAGGAGTGGCCA